AGATTCGGTTCTCGCCCTGAGACGGCGGCATCGAATACTGAACGCCATCTGGAGAGCCAACCACTTGATCCTGCATCTCCTTCCCCTCTTTCACCTCGTCCATCCTCCTCCTCCTCCTCCTCCTCCTCCTCCTCCTCCTCCTAGTCGCGATGGTTCAGTCGCTAGGCGACCCTGTGCAGGCTCAGGGATCCCTGTGCAGGCTCAGGGATCCCTGTCGCGATGCAAAGTCACGATCCCTGTGCAGGCTCAGGGATCCCAGGGATCCCAGGGATTCCTAATCCTCCAGCAAAACCGACCTGGGGATCCACCAGCGATCCCGCGCTCAGAATCCCTGGGATCCCTGAGCCTGCTCAGGGATCGCGACGTCGGTGGTCAGCAAACCATATGATTTCTCAGGGATCCCAGGGATTCCAGGGATGCGAAGTCACGATCCCTGAACAGGCCCAGGGATCCCAGGGATTCCAGGGATGCGACGTCACCATCCCTGTGCAGGCTCAGTGATATCCAGGGATCCCATGGATTCCTGACCCTCCAGCAAAATCGGCCTGGCGACTTCGCAAAGATTTGGGGGGTTGGGAATCCCTGGGATCCCTGGGACCCCTGAGCCTGCACAGGGATCGTGACTACGCATCCCTGGAATCCATGGGATCCCTGAGCCTGCTCAGGGATCGTGACTTCGCATCCCTGGAATCCTTGGAATCCCTGAGAAATCATATGTCTTGCTGACAACCGACGTCGCGATCCCTGTGCGGGCTCAGGGATCCCAGGGATTCTGAGCGCGGGATCGCTGGTGGATCCCCAGGTCGGTTTTGCTGGAGGGTTAGGAATCCCTGGGATCCCTGGGATCCCTGAGCCTGCACAGGGATCGTGACTTCGCATCCCCTGGATCGTGACTCCCTGGGATCCCTGAGACATCATATGGTTTGCTGACCACCGACGTCGCGATCCCTGAGCGGGCTCAGGGATCCCAGGGATTCTGAGCGCGGGATCGCTGGTGGATCCCCAGGTCGGTTTTGCTGGAGGATTAGGAATCCCTGGGATCCCTGGGATCCCTGAGCCTGCACAGGGATCGTGACTTCGCATCCCTGGAATCCCTGGGATCCCTGAGCCTGCTCAGGGATCGTGACTTCGCATCCCTGGAATCCCTGGGATCCCTGAGAAATCATATGGTTTGCTGACAACCGACGTCGCGATCCCTGAGCAGGCTCAGGGACCCCAGGGATTCTGAGCGCGGGATCGCTGGTGGATCCCCAGGTCGGTTTTGCTGGAGGGTTAGGAATCCCTGGGATCCCTGGGATCCCTGAGCCTGCACAGGGATCGTGACTTCGCATCCCTGGAATCCCTGGGATCCCTGAGCCTGCTCAGGGATCGTGACTTGGCATCCCTGGAATCCCTGGGATCCCTGAGACATCATGGTTTGCTGACCACCGACGTCGCCCTGAGCAGGCTCAGGGATCCCAGGGATTCTGAGCGCGGGATCGCTGGTGGATCCCCAGGTCGGTTTTGCTGGATTAGGAATCCCTGGGATCCCTGGGATCCCTGAGCCTGCACAGGGATCGTGACTTCGCATCCCTGGAATCCCATCGCATATGGTTTGCTGACAACCGACGTCGCGATCCCTGAGCAGGCTCAGGGATCCCAGGGATTCTGAGCGCGGGATCGCTGGTGGATCCCCAGGTCGGCTTTGCTGGAGGGTTAGGAATCCCTGGGATCCCTGGGATCCCTGAGCCTGCACAGGGATCGTGACTTCGCATCCCTGGAATCCCTGGGGTCCCGGAGCCTGCTCAGGGATCGTGAGTGACTTCGCATCCCTGGAATCCCTGGGATCCCTGAGCCTGCACAGCGATCGTCACTTAGCATCCCTGTGCATCCCTGGAATGCCTGAGAAATCATATGGTTCGCTTATCGTTCTTGTTAGCGCTGCCGCTGACATCTTATACCTGTTCTCCCAAAGGCGGGGGAAGCGGACGCTTGCATCTTCTGAGGTTGCGTTAGAAAAAGCATTCCGCTTGCAACGCGTGATTCGGGAAGAGGAACGGAAAGGAGCAGGGATGATGAGAAGAGGATGCGTCTCCAGCTTCGTGGAAGAGGGAGAAGGCGTAGAGTGGGTGCTGGGGGGGGCTGTCCATATATATATATATATATATATATATATATTTATGTAGGTTCGCCAATTGTAATATGGGCCATCCTGGCAAGTCTAGCTGCACATGCTGCTCATGCTGCGCACGGTGCTCGCACAACTGATGCTCTCCTACTTGTGGTGGCCGCACTCCGCACTCGTTGCGCACAAACACTGCTACGCCTGCACCGGGAACGTGGCCAGCCGAGGGGCAAGACGGCAACGCCATGAGACTCCAGCCTCTCACTTGTGCTCGCGACTGGATGGCCTCAGCCTGATCAGCGACGCGTCCGAACTCCTGAACCATCGCGACTAGGAGCACGAGTCGCCTTCAATCGTTCCTTTACAGTGTTCTTGCCCCCGCTACAAGTGAAGGTCTCAATCGCATGTTCACCACTCTGCAAATCACCTTCAGGGCCTCTGGGAGAGAAAGACTGCGGCTTGAAGCTCGTGGCAAGCGGCAAGAGGTGGCCATGCTCACCGCAGGCCCGACAGACAGCAGGAGCACGCGCTCCAGGCGGGTGCGGCGCCCTCGCGGCTCTGGCACCCTCCGGGAGTCGGTCTGACCGCAGAGGTGGGCTGCCAACCCTCGCTTTAAGCCAGGCCTGTCCCTCTACAGGAGGAATATTCCAAAATAGTCAAAGATAGTCTGGGGACGATTTTTCGTTTTTTTTTGACTATTTTTTGAATTCTTCTTGGACTATGCGTGCCGCCAGGACGATCGGCACCGCAAGAATGGGCATCACCACGTGCCGCGGCCAGCCCCCCTGCACTGCCCATCGTTCCTCCCGGCGCCGCGCCCGATGAGGCTCCCCGCCGTCACCCCTGAGCTGCACCCCGGGCGCTGGGAGGGCCCCGCCCCGGCGCGCCTGGGAGGGGACAGGGTCGGAGGGGTCAAGGCGTGCACGGGACCAAGGGTTGCCGCGGCCATGCTCTCGCACAGCTGCATCATCATCATCATCATCATCATCATCATCATCATCATCATCATCATCATCATCATCATCATCATCATCATCATCATCATCATCATCATCATCATCATCATCATCATCATCATCATCATCATCATCATCATCATCATCATCATCATCATCATCATCATCATCATCATCATCATCATGATCATCATCATCATCAACAACATCAGCATCATCATCATCATCGTCATCATCATCGTCATCATCATCAGCATGATCATCATCACCATCATCACCATCATCACCATCATCACCATCATCACGACCATCATCATCATCACGACCATCATCATCATCATCATCATCATCATCATGAAATCGGCAGTCATGATATTCGCGCACGTTTCGTGGCGTAGAGCTCCCCCAGCTTGGCTGTGAAATTTTCGAAAGAGCTGCACCTGGTCCACAACTGCCTCTGCTCAGACTCAGAAATCGCGGATCACTCCGTAGCACGCTTGACGCCGTTGCTGTTCTGAGCTTCGCCATCCCCATGAGGATCCTCGCCAGCAGGACCAGGAGGTGCAGCGCCAGACATGGGCGCATCTTCCTGCGTCGGCACGACTTGGCCCAACCTGCTCTCGCTTGCGCTCGAACTCCTTCTGCGATTCATCATCCTGCAACTTTTTGGCTGCCAGCGAGCGCTCGCGCTCCCCGATGGAAATACGCAACTTCTGATACTGCTCCCTTTCCTCAGCCAGGTCCTTGTACATCTGCTCGACGGCAAGCTTCGCCTTGCCGAGGTCTTGCGCAGCACGCCGATGGGCCGTTGACGGTGGGCGTAGTTGCTTCTGCTGGTCACGCAGCGACATAAGCTTTTCGCCCAACGTACTTCGATTCTGCTTGAAACCTTCATCGTTCGGCATATTCTTGAGCGATGCTTCGAGCTCCTGTACCTGCAATGCAACCTTCGCATGTTGACCGTCCTCAGTGCTCGAATCTGCGCTCTGTGCTTCCTCTTGAACTTGATCCCAGCGAACTTGTTTTCAGGGCCTCTCATTCTCACTCTTTGTAGTGGTGGTCTGAGAGAGAGAGAGAGAGAGAGAGAGAGAGAGAAAAAGAGAGAGGGAGAGAGAGAAAGAGAGAGAGAAACAAAACATAGGGATGCGACCAGGGCGTCCAGCTTCTTCTCCAACGCAGCAAGTTTGCCAGACTCCTGTTTTTCACCACCTCCCTTGGAGCCTGCGCCAGACCCTTTGCCACTTTTTCCTTTGCCCACGCCCTTGTCAACCTGCTCATGCTTCTGTGCCGCAACCTGATGCGCCGCCATTGAACGAGACTTGATGAGAGCTGGGGCATCTCTTCCACAGGCACGCTAGATCCTCGACGCCCACTTGTGGAGACGACCACACACGCGCAAGACCATTCTGGTTTCCCCGGTCCAAGGAGGACATCTGATTGCACTTTGCCATCCGCGGGCTGTGGAATCGTAAAAAAATGACTGGGAGCTCGAAGCCCGCTTGCGCTGGCAGGCGGGGAGTGCGGACTCCCAAGAAAATGGATGTCAGGCTGAGCAGCCTTGCTGTCGCGGACGGGCGGTATCCACGTGACCCAATGTGGAAAAAAACCACCTTGAGCCAAAATGGCTACGGGGGGGAGGATGAGGAGCAGGAGGCGGAGGCAAGAGGCGGCGGCGGCGGCAACGGAGGAGGAGGAGGAAGAGGAGGAGGAGGCGGAGGAGGCGGAGGAGGAGGAGGAGGAGGAGGAGGAGGAGGAGGCGCAGGGGAGGAGGAGGAGGAGGCAGGCGGAGGGAAGTAGGAGGAGGAGACAGGCGGAGGAGGGGAAGGGATTGGAAGGGGGGAGGGGGGATCAGGATGATGATGATAATGATGACGACGCAGTAGGCCTCATCGATGAGCCCCTGCGTGCGGACCGCGGGGGGGCCCCCAGCCCCCGCCGAGGAGCGCAAGGAACGCCGTAGCCACTACTACGCGGGCGGTCGCAGGAGCCTTCCCTGGGCGCGCCCTCCCGCGCCCGCGACCCCCTCCGCGCTTGCCTCCCCCCCCCCTCCCCTCTGCCCACGCGCCGCTCGACCCCCGCCCTCCTCCTTTCCCCCCCCTTACCCCGCTCTCCCCCCCCCCCCTCTTCCGCGCTCGCCTCCCTCGCCTCCCCCCCCCCCCCCCCCCCCCCCCCCCCCCCCCCCCCCATCCCTTGCAGTAAAGACGCTGAGCCGAGGACGACTTCGGGCTCAGGAGGAGCCCTGGCTCTCGGGCCGCTCCTTTTGCTCTGGGTCGGGAAACCTGCTTCTGACCGAGGCCAGCCGCCGTGGCCAGAAAAGCACCTTAATTCCGTATTCGGCGTTCGTTGTGGTAGCACGAGGACTGTAGCTCGCTCGCCCCCGCGCGCCGTCCCTTCCGCTGCCTCGTCCTCGCCATCGGCGGGCTGGCCGCGGCTGGCGGCGCCGCCGTGCTGGAGCTGCAGGCGTTTGCGCGTGCTGCCTCCCCGCTCTGCCCCCAGGGCCGTACCAGGGGCTGGGGACCAGCGTTAGGGTGGGATAAGCTTGGGCGGGTTGGGGTCGCACCGACCGGGGAATGGGGAGGGGTTGGCATGGTCGAACCCGGCACGGGAAGAACGGGAGCGGAGACCGATGCAGGGTCCACGTCAGCGGGGATAGGGTCAGGAGGGTCGCATCGGCCCCCAATCGCCCAATTATCGCCGACGGGGGCCCGATAGCCCACCCCGACCAAAAGGGCCGGTCTTGCTCTCTCAACACTCCCTTCGAGTAGGGCATCGTCTGCAGAATCCACTTGCTCCATGAGTGATTTCCTCGTGAAGTCTACACCAAGCACGTAGACTGCTCGGGGATCTGTCCACACTCCTCGTACTGTCCATCGATTCGACGAACCGTTTTTGGGGCACATCAATGATGTAGTCGATCCCCTGCTCGGTCCCTGGCCCCCACCTCGTCACGCGCACGCGGCCCTGAGCCACGAGGCGCCCGCCCCTCCCTCTTCTCCGGGACCCCGCGTCGGCGCGCCCGCTGCTCCGCCCCTCCTCCTTCGGGTTGACCCAAGCGGGGGCCCAGCGATGAGGGGGTGGTGCAATAGGTTTGGTGCGATAGATCTGTGGAGTTGCAATGCATTTGTGGAGTTGCAGTACACTTGGGGCGTGCAGTACGTTCCGGGGCGCAGATGTATTGCTGGATCTTCGCGTGCAGTGCATTACTTGCAATAACAATGCAATACAATTCTCCGGCGCAGTGCATTTGCAGTACGATTGCCCCAGACCTATTGCACCACCCCCTTTCGGCTGGACCCCCTTTTGGGTCATCCAAATCCCTGGCCCCCGCAGTGCCCCTCGGCTGCCTCCGACCGCGGCGTGGACCCGCGCCGCTGCGACCAAGGGCTCGGTGCGCCCGATGTGCTCCGCCCCTCGGCCTGTCGCCGCCCAGAAAGCCCCGCCGCCGCTCGACGATCCTCAGGACGTGTGTTGGCGGAATGCGCGTTTTGCCTGTCCAGCTCCACCGATGGACCACTCGGGGGAGGACAAGATACCGACACCGCTACCCTTGGCTCGCTTTCCCCTTTAGGGCCCCTGGGAGGCCTTTGTTGTGACCGCTGGATTCGTTTCAAACTTCTGGTCAGAACGCACCCTGGGAGAGGTCCGGGGATTAGCAGCATCGGTATTTTTTGTATCCCCAATCGTCATGCCGCCCGCTTCGTCATGGGGGTTCCGATGAACAAGCACACGTTGGCCCTAACAGGCGTTCCGAGGAATATCGAGCTGCCCCCCACCCTTACCACTCACCAAACCACCCCAACACAAACCGAAGGCTTCAAATTACCCTCCATTTCCATTGTGGTGTGGGGGGGGTCGAGGAACAGTGAAAAACACATATGGAACCCGTATTTCCCCCAACCCGAAATTTGACTCTTCCGGTTGGGTTTGGGTGGTCTGGTAGGTAGTCACACCCTGGCCGCGGCAAGAAGGCCGCCTGCTTCGTATTGGGGGGCTTCGATGAACAAACAGACGTTGATGCCTCGATGCTTCGGAGGAGGGGGAGGAGGGGGAGGAGGGGGAGGAGGAGGAGGAGGAGGAGGAGGAGGAGGAGGAGGAGGAGAGGAGGAGGAGGAATAGGAAAAGGAGAGGAGGAGGAGGAGGTGGAGGAGGAGGAGGAGGAGGAGGAGGAGGAGGAGGAGGAGGAGGAGGAGGAGGGAGGAGGAGGAGGAGGAGGAGGAGGAGGAGGAGGAGGAGGAGAGGAGGGAGGAGGAGGAGGAGGAGGAGGAGGGAGGAGGAGGAGGAGGAGGAGGAGGAGGAGGAGGAGGAGGAGGGAGGAGGAGGAGGAGGAGGAGGAGGAGGAGGAGGCGTTCTGAGGAATATCGAGCCGCCCCCCACCCTTGCCGCGGCAGGAAGGCCGTCGAGGGGCCAGAACCCGCCGAGAAGGCCAGGAGGCACAAGCGCCTCCCTTGCCGCTCCTCCCCGCCCTCTCGCGGCCACGGCGAGGGCGGGCTGCGGGAGGGGAGGGGGGGAAGGGGGGAGGGAGGGGAGGGAGGGAGGGAGGGAGGGAGGGGAGGGGAGGGGAGGGATGGAGGGAGGGAGCGGGGAGGGGAGGGAGGGAGGGAGGGGAGGGAGGGAGGGAGGGAGGGAGGGAGGGGAGGGGACAAGCTAGGTGCGCTCGCGTCATATCTGACGTCCTACCCCTCCCTCCCATCCCTTACCATGACGCTGATTTTCTCTATCCGCGGACGCGTGTCGTAGCGGACCTGTGGCTCCGCGCGCGCGTGCGTAGTGGGTGGCGGTGCGCGTGCGTGCGTGCGTGCGTGCGTGCGTGCGTGCGTGCGTGCGTGCGTGCGTGGTGGTGGTGGTGGTGGTGGTGGTGGTGCGGCGCGGTGGTGGCGGGCGGATGGGCGCGCGAGAAAGAGGCCCGCGCTGTGGCGAGAACGCCATCCTGAACGACGGAGGCCAAACACCGATCCAAAAATGAGGCCCACGCTGCAGCGGGAGCACGATTCGGAACGATTCGGGAGCAGAAATGAGGCCGGCGCCTCAGCGAGAGCAGCATTTTCCCGGGAATCCTCCTGTGTAAAAAAACAGTACGCGGGGGGGTGTCAGATATCTTCGGGACGCCATCAGGGGAAGTGGGAGAGTATTTTCATATTGTGTAATTGTGGAGGGAGGGAGGGGAGGGGAGGGGATGAGGGAGGGAGGGAGGGAGGGAGGGAAGTGGGAGGAGGAGGAGGAGGAGGAGGAGGAGGAGGAGGAGGAGGAGGAGGAGGGGGAGAAGGGGGAGGAGGAGGAGGAGGAGGAGGAGGAGGAGGTGGAGGAGGAGGAGGAGGAGGAGCAGGGGAGGAGGAGGAGGAGGAGGATGATGATGATGATGATGATGATGATGATGATGATGATGATGATGATGATGATGATGATGATGATGATGATGATGATGATGATGGTGATGGTGATGGTGATGGTGATGGTGATGGTGATGGTGATGATGATGCTGATGCTGATGCTGATGATGAAGATGATGATGATGCTGAGGATGATGATGACGATGCTGCTGCTGATGATGATGATGATGATGATGATGATGATGATGATGGTGATGGTGATGGTGATGGTGATGGTGATGGTGATGATGATGCTGCTGATGATGATGATGATAATGATGATGATGCTGATGATGCTGATAATGATGATGATGAGGATGAGGATGATGATGAGGATGATGATGATGCTGCTGCTGCTGATGATGATGATGGTGGTGGTGGTGGTGGTGATGATGATGATGATGATGATGATGAGGAGGAGGAGGAGGAGGAGGCCAGTACGCGCCGCATGTAGACTGAAACGACCGAGGGCAGCATCTAGTGTAGGCTCTCCACTGCTTCGAATTTCTATACGACCACCCTTCGGGTGATAATTAAGGTGGTTGGAGGGGGGGAAGAACCAACTGCTGGAAAATGCGATGGGTGTGATGATGAGGATGCTGGTGATGCGCCCTCCACTTAGCGACGACGCGTGATGACGATGTTTCGCTGCGATGTATTGTCACTATCGTTCTCATTATCGATTTCGTTTTTATCTCACAATCGATCTCGCTTTCGATGTCACTATCAGTTCCTCTATCGATACCACTATCTATCTCACAACCAAAATCACAATCAGCCTCGCTGTCGACTCATTTTTGATCTCACTAGCCATCCCACTCTAGCGATCTCATTATCGACTTCACTATCGATACCAAGGCGGGACACCCCTAGCCACCTCCCGCCCACCGCCGACAGAACACCTACGGGACACCACCAGAACACCAACGGGACACCACAGGACACCACGGCGGGACACCCCGGGCCACCGCGCGCTCACCTGGGGCAGAGGGGTGGTCCAGTACATCCGAATCGCCCTAGTAACGGCGGGGTCATTACTCTCGCGTGCCCACGCAGCTTCGCTTCGCCCGCACGCAGGACACGAACGTCTTGCGTCGGCGGCGAGGTAGGGGTCGTCTGCGCTAGCGGAAAGGCCTAAACCGGGGTGCCGTTGAAGAGAATTGTGCCACCATGCAGGAGGGAAGGGAAAAGCAGAGGACGCGGCCGAAAGAGGGGGCGGAGGGAGCGAGCTTCTCAGGGGGACGGGTCACGGCCCGAGCGAGTGACGCGGCCAGCACCGCCGGCGGCCCCGCGGCGGTTGCTGCACCAGGTGGCTTGCGGCGGCGGGGCGCAGTGCGTGGGTGGGGGGAACCACCCCAGGTGCAAGAGTGTAAGGCTGACAGTGCTGAAGCCAGGTGGGTGCCCTTCACAAGGGTGGGAGAGTGCGTGGTAGCCAGCAGAAGCTGGGGCGCCGGCGGCGGGTGGCAAGACCAAACCCGGTGGGCCAGCGCGGGCGGCGGCTGCTAGCACGCACGACACGAACACGAAACCGAGACCGATTTCCACCTCTCGGGCCACTCGGGCCTTCGGTGCCACTGGGGCCTTCGGTGGAGCTCCCTGTGGGGCCACGAACCCTGTGAGGGGTGCGCCGAAATGAGGGTGGAACTGCATGCGAACGCTGCCACTGGGGCCTTCGGTGGAGCTCCCTGTGGGGCCACGAACCCTGTGAGGATTGTGCCGAAATGAGGGAGGAACTGCATGCGAACGCTGCCGCTGGGGCCTTCGGTGGAGCTCCCTGTGGGGCCACGAACCCTGTGAGCGGTGTGCCGAAACAGAGACATGCAAGGGGCAGAGGCAAGGAGGGTGAGGGTGAGGAGGAGGAGGAGGAGGAGGAGGAGGAGGAGGAGGAGGAGGAGGAGGAGGCAGCGGGAGGAGAAGGACGGAGGACGCGGGCGCTGTCTGTGCAAAACGAGGACTCAACACCACAGGATGGTTGGGGAAAAAAGTTGATCAGAAAACAGAAGAGATAAAAGAAATGAGGAGGGGGAGGGGGGGGGGAAGGGAGTTTGGTCCAAGGGGTGTGCCCCCCAGCCTCCCCCCGTCCCCCGTCCTGCCTTTCCTTGCCCCTCCTCCTTCGCTCCTTCCGCCAGGCCTTCCTCCCTCCCTTCCTCCTTTCCCCGCTCCCTCCTGTCTCCTCTCCCCTCCTCCCCTCGCCCCGTCCCGTCGCATTCCTCCTCCCTCCTCCGTCCCTGCTGCTCCCGCTCTTGCTCCTACTGCTGCAGCTGCTGTGGTTGCCGTTGCCGCTGCCGTCGCCGCCGATTCTCATCGTGCTTGCGGATTGTCCTCTTTCGCGATGACTGGGCTGTGCCAGGGGCGCGCGCAAGGAGTCCACGGGCGCGCGCGGGTTCCTCGCCGCGCGCAGGCAGCCGTGCTGGGAGTCGCAAGTGTGCCGTAGCTCAGCTCGGGGACCGCCGCGCAGACAGGTTCGTGTCGAGCAGCAACACGGCAGAGTCTCTGTAGCTACGTCGACGTGCCCGCCACCTCTGCGGGCACTCGGCAGCAGCAGCAGCAGCAGCAGCAGCAGCAGCAGCAGCAGCAGTGGTTCACATCTTTTTGTTGCTTGCTGGGCTGCTGTGCCTTCCCCAGCCCGTCCCGTTCAGCCTGCGTCCGTCTCCCTCCCCCTGTCGTTCATATTGTGTCCGCCTGTTGCACTCTCAAGCATCGCGGTGCAAGGGCGCGTGCATGTTGTGCTGCAATCCGCTGTCTTGGATCCAGCGCAGGCGTCGCTCGTGCTGTACGTCCGTCCGTCAGTGTCCAGCGCTCTGACCACTCAAGGAGTTGACGTCTCTCCGCATCTCGTTCGCGTTTTTCGCCCGCATCAGCTGCGAGGAGCGATCACCAGAGTTCCGACGGCTGGACGGGACACAGCGCAGCGCAGCCTGGCGAAATTGGTCCTCCCTGTCCCTTTTGGCAGCCGCGTGCGAGCTCTACTCAGTGGGGGGCCAGAAAAGCAAGTTGGGAACGTGTCCCAGAGTACCCCAGGAATTCCGGGAACCCGACTCCGGCGTGGCAGTGGGGGGGTTTTCGTCTTGGGGTCTTCTTGGGTCCTGCAGCAGCTTGCAGCTTTGGAGCCAGACGTGTCATCCATAATCATAACAGTGCCGGGAACCTTCACACTGGAATTGTTGCATGTGGCAGAAGCATCTAGTTACGCCTCGCAGCCTGGCCCCCAGGGGGGCCAGCGGATTCTGATTCTTTGTTTCAACTATCCGGTGGTGTGGGGTCCTCCTGTCGAAGGGAGCGTGCCGTGCCGCCTCATCTCACCTCACTTCCCGCCTCCCTCCTCCCTCCTCCCATCCCTGCATCTGCCCTCCGCACGCCGATTTTGGATTTTTTTTGGGATTCCCCTCGCACGAGGGGACGCATGTCCAACTCGTAACCCCACGGGGAGCTCCAACCAAGGCCCCAGGGGGTGGGGTTGTGTGGGGACCACATGCGGCACCCTGGCCATTTAGGCTTAAGTCGGGCCTGTCCCTCTAGAGGAGGACTATTCAAAAATATAATAGTCTGGGGACGATTATGTTCTGACTATTTTTGAGCATTTTTGGAATATTTTTGGTCAATTTTTAATTTTTCGCCCAAAATCCGCCTGTAGGGGGACACGCCCGACCTAACCGCGTATGGAGCTCCACTTGAGGCCCCAGCGGGGGAGGATCACATGCGGTCCCCCAACCATCTCGGCACACCCCTCTCACGTTTCGTGGCCCCTGTAGAGTTCCACCGATGCCCCGGGGGGGAGGGTGCCGCATGTGTCCGCAGGCCCATTTCGGCCCACCCCTCACACGCTTCGTGGCCCCACCGGGAGCTCCACTGAAGGCCCCAGTGGCAGCGCCCGCATGCGTCCTCAATGCCCATTCTGGCACCTCTCACACGCTTCGTGGCCCCATTTTGGCAATTCTACCGAAGGCCCTGTGGCAGGGCCTGCATGCGCCCCCAGGCCCATGTCGGGACACCTTTCACAAGTGCGGTACCCACGAGTGCATATGATTGGGTTCTTCTTCTTCGTCTTCCTCTTCTTCTTATTCGTTTTCGTATTAGTATCATTCTTATCCTTGTTATCATTGTTAATCGTATATCATTGTTCCAATTGTGATTGTCATCATTTTCTATTCACATACGTAGCATTTTCCCATCATTGTAATACTCATCATTGACATCATCATCATCATCATCATCATCATCATCATCATCATCATCATCATCATCATCATCATCATGATCATCATCATCATCATCATCGCCATCGTCATCATCAGCATCAGCAACATCATCATCATGATCATCATGAACATCATCATCATCATCGTCGTCATCATCATCATCGCCATCGTCACCACCATCATCATCAGCATCAGCATTACCATCATCATGATCATCATCATCATCATGGTGATCATCATCATCATGATCATCATCATCGTCAACATCATCCGCATCATAATCTTCATCATGATCATCACGATAACCATGATCATCATGATTATCGTGATCATCAGCATGATGACCATCATCATCATCATCAGCATTATCATTATCATTATCATTAGCTTTACCATTATCTTTATCATTATCTTCATCATCATCATCATCATCATCATCATCATCATCATCATCATCATCATCGTCATCGTCATCGTCATCGTCATCGTCATCGTCACCGCCACCATCATCACCGTCCTCCTCCCCCTCGTCACCATCCTCTTCCTCACCCCCGCCGCTCCTCCGCGTCTCCCGCGGGAGGCCCGCCGAGGGGGGCGCCGCCAAGCCCGGGGCTGCCAAGCAGAAGAGGCCCCCGCTCTGCGCGCGCGGTCCCTCGCCCTCTCTCGGTATCGTTGAACTGATCCCCATCCACATCCTCATCCCCTTCGAGACCCTCACCGAATTACCACCCGAGTTGGCGATACCCCCCTCGAAACCCGAAGGGAACGACCCATATCCCTATCTAGGGGGGTAAATCGGCCAGTGGGACCCAGGCCACGCCGCTGGGGATGGGGATCAGTTAAACGATACTCACTCTCCGCCGCACGGCCTCCGCATACCTCGCGGGCGGGCTTCTGCGGCCTGACCGGACAGGCTCATGCAGCTCGCCAGAGCCTTCACCTAAATCTTCACTCGCGGTCTCGCTGCCCAAATCGTTCTCAAAATATTCGCCTGCATCTTCGCTTGCGCTCTTGCTGCTTAAGTCTTCACTTTCAAATCGTCATCTAGATCTTCACTCTCGCTCGCACTGTTTCAATCTTCGCCAGAGTCTTCACAAACATCTTCCTCGCGCTCTCATTGCTTAGATCTTCACCCAACTCTTCATTCGTGCTCGGCCAGTTTAAATCCTCACCTAAATCTTCGTTCGCGCTCTCACAGCTCAAAGCGTCACCGAAGTCTTCGCCCAAATTTGCACTCGCGCTTTCACTTCGTAAAGGTTTACCAGTATCTTCACCTAAATCTTGCTCGCGCTCGCAATACTTTAATCTTCACCGACAACTTCGCCTAAGTCTCAGCTAGGGCTATAAAAGCATAAATAAATCTTCACCTAAATCTTCGCTCGCGCTCTCAATGTTTGAGAACCAGCATCTCCACAACAATCTTCACTCGCGCTATCGCTGTTCATATCCTCACCAGCATCTCCATCGAAATCTGCACTTGCGCTTTCACTGGTGACATCTTCACCGAACTTTTCGTTGTGCTGTTCACTCGCGCTCTTGCTGCTGGAATATTCACGTACATCCTCACCTACATCTGTACTCGCGCTCGCACGGGTCAAATCCTCACCAGCATCTTCACAACAATCTTCACTCGCGCTCTCGCCGCTTAAGTCTTCATCGTAATATTCGCATGGATATTCACTCGCGCTCTCACAGCTTGAATCTTGCAGCAAATCGTCGGCGTCGTCGTCGTCGTCGTCGTCGTCGTCGTCATCGCTTGGGTGCTCGCTAGTTTTGTTTCCACGTTTTGTTGGCGGCCCTCGGCCGCGCCACCGTTCTTCGCGCGACGCCGGTCATCGTTCTTGGTCAAACTGCGTTTTACTAAAACCAAAACGAGAAGAAAACACCGTTTAGCTTGTACCCTGCGGCACCTCGTGTACAGCGTTACCGACAATGTACGCCATGTACGTCGCTGTAGAAAAATACGACGTCATCCGTAACCGCTACGAGATCTTTGGAGTGGCCTCGCCGCTCAACCCACTCATCTGCCCCTGCCTCGTTGAGAATACGCGGTGCTGGTATCTCTTCTCCCCCCTTGGAGGAGGAGGAGGAGGAGGAGGTGGAGGAGGACTTGGAGAAGGAGGAGGGGGAGGACGAGGAGGACGAGGACGGCGAGGAGGGCGAGGACGGCCAGCAGGACGAGGGGGACAAGGAGGACGAGGAGGACGAGGAGGACAAAGAGGACGAGGACGAGGAACAAAAAGGAGGAGGAGGCGGAGGAGGAGGAGGAGGAGGAGGAGGAAGGGGAGGGGTGAGGAGGCGGAGGAGGAGGAAGAGGAGGCGGAGGAGGAGGATGAGGAGGACAAGGAGGACGAGGAGGACGAGGATGAGAAGGAGGACGAGGATGAGAAGGAGGACGAGGAGGAGGACGAGGATAGGGAAATGGAGGAGGAGGGGGAGGAGGAGGAGGAGGAGGAGAAGGAGGAGGAGGAGGAGTAGGAGGAGGACCTGTGTAAGCCCAAGGGTCATCAACGACGTTGGAATAAACCCTCCCTCCAAGCTCCCTTTCCATAGGCCCCTACACGGGTTCATCTCCGCTGAGGGAACTGCTTCGTTGCAAGACAACCGTTTGAAGACCCTGAAGCATGTCAAAACATTGTTCTCGGGATTCCAGCGCCACGGATCAACCTGACCTCTTGCGTCTTGACGATCCTGAATCGTGCCAGAACGCCATTCCTTGGATTTCGACACCGCGAATCAACGGAACTGTTGCGCCCTCAAAATCCTGAGGTCATCCAACACAATTTCTGGTACGCTGATCATGGGAAGCCGTGAAACTCTTATACATTTTATAAACGGATGTGCGCGGTGCTAAGGCGAGAGCCACATTTAAAAAAGGAACCGCCCTCAATCCTTGAAGCTCTTGCAGTTTGTTAGAACCAGTGTGCGCGGCGCTAAGGCGGGAGCTACACTTTGAAAGCGACCCGCTCTCAGTCCATGAAGCTCTTGCGATTAAAAATATATGTGCGCGGCGCTACGGCGAGAGCCTCATTTTGAAAACCGACCCGCCCTCCAAGGCGAAACGCCCGGCCCGCCCTAAAAGCTGGCCTCGGGGTGCGACAGGGAGAAGCTATTTAGAGGGAAGAAGAATGGAGGACGAGGAGAAGAAAGAAGGAAAGGAGGAGGGAAAGGAGGAGGAGGCGGAGGAGGGGGTGGAGCAGGAGCAGGAGGGGGAGGAAAAGGAGGAGGAGGAGGAGGAGGAGGAGGAGAGAGGAGGAATAGGAAAAGGAGGAGGAGAGGAGGAGGAGGAGGAGGAGGAGGGGAGGGGGAGGAGGAGGAGGATGATGATGAGGAGGAGGAGGAGATGGAGGAGAAGGAGGAGGAGGAGGAGAAGGCGGAAAGGAGGCGGAAGAGGGGGACGAGGAGGGGGACGAGGATGAGGAGGATTATTTTGAGGTCGCGGTGGCGGGAGCGTGCAGCTCTGAGAGGGCTCAGCGGTGTATGTAGCGGGCAGGCGTTTCCCTGTCGTGGCGGGGCTTCTGTCCCAGCCAGGCGCGCAGGGGTGCAGAGGGAGAGCGGAAGATGTCTTAGAAACACCCCTTCTTCTCGGAAGGCGCGGGCCTTGTCTGTAGATGTAGGGCTGGCGCGTTCGAAGAAGCAGCCTGCTTCGAAGAAGCCTTCCTCCATCCCTCTGCCCCCTTTGTGCGCGTCGCCAGCTGTCTCCGTGACCCCCTCGGTATCATAACGATACGAGCATCAGTTTTCGGCCGGGCCCAGCGCAGATCCAAGAAAACCGTGCGGAGCTCCCGGAGATCTGACAACATACAGGCTTATGCGGAACTTCTCCTTCGACATATATGTTTCAACCCCCTTCCAAGAAGTCCCACAAGACTTCTTGGAGGGGGTCCCTCGTCGCAGAGCCCCCCTCCTGCTGCCCGGAAGATCCTGCCCTCGTTGGCGCTCGTGCCCGATGATCTTCCTCGTCGACGGAACGAGGGGAGAGCCGGGCCCAGCTGCGCCCGCGTACCAACCTTCATGCCAGTGTGGCACCCTGCGGGATTCTTCTCGGCAGAGGCTTGCTCTCCCGTTCCTCAGTTTATTTTTGAGTCGGGCCTGTCACTCTGCAGGGGGAATATTCAAAAATAGTCAGCAAATAGTCAGGGGACGATTTTTTGACCATTGTTTGTCATTTTTGTTTTTTTTGGGGTCTTTCGCCCAAAATCACCCCGTAGGGGGACACGCCCTTCCTAAGCTTATTTCAGGGTCTGGCTCTGAGTCCGATGCCAGGCGGCAGCGCTCCTGGAATGCACCTATCGCTTGAGCAGAGGCCGACTCAGAGAGGGCCTCCGCTCCGCGTTCCACGCGACTGTGAAAGCCCGGGCCATCTACATGCGACGAACATACCATGAATATGAGCTCTGTGGGAGGTTGGTGTTGCATCGACGCCGGACTCCCCTGGCGGCGCGTCTGGCACCGTCGCTGCATTGTTCCTAGACTCAGCACTAGTGCACAGTTCGCAGTGTGCTGCTAGCACGGCCCTCTGTGTGAGACACATGGCTGTGGAGGAAAGCGCTGCTGCAATCCCGCGCATCCCGTCTTTGCTAGACTGTTTGTGCAACGGCCTTGCCAGAGACTGACTCAGGACGGTCCTCGTCTCCTCACTTGGAGCACGGCGCCAGGTTTTGCATGGTGCATGCTGCATGTTGCAGGTAGTACCATGCACCGTGCGACCGCAGCCGCTTTCCACGCAAGCGCTCTTGAAGGGCCGCCTTGCGCCGCGAAAGCTCGAACGCCGGAAAAAGAGCCGGACCATTGCAACACTCGATGGGGTCTTCGCGGCAGGTCGGGGCCGCGGGCTCCGAAGCGGCGGTTTTCGCGCGGCGCCCTCTCGGAAGTGAGCGGCGCGCGGGGCCCCCGAGGCGCCGCGCCGTCGAGGAGGACGACGACGACGAGATCGCCTCCTCCGAGGCGGAGGCCATCGCGCGGGCGAGGGGGCTTCTCTCGGAGGAGGGGAAGGTGCCCATTTCCCTGTCTGGGCCTCCTGGGAGGCCCTCGTCGCCACGGCTAGGTTCGCCTCGAAACTCTGGTCAGAACTCACCCTGGGAGCTGTCCGGGGAGTAGCAGCATCGGTAACTTTCGGGTTCCCCCATTCTCTCGCCCCTCGAGGCGAATAGAGAACGGCACAAGCATAGTTTCTCGGAGGTCCTCAAGATTTCTGAGTCGGCGCTGGGGTTCCACTGGCGGCGCCTCCAGCGCCGCCCTGGCGCGCTCCGCGCGCCAGGGAGGAGGGGGGTCAGTGCCGATCCTAGAAATCCGCGCGGAGCTCTGAGACAATGTGCTTGTGCGGGTTTTGTCCCTCTAAGTCTATACTCGTCCTTCGCTCTTCCCCCCTCCCCGCCCATTCTCCCTCCTCGTCCGCGCCTTCTTCGCGCCTGGAAGGGGCGGGCATGGACGATCTGCCGGCAGGTTTGCGTACGCATTCCGTGTGTTTTGATTTCGCTTGTGGCATCATTCCTCAAGTTGTCGTCGCTGTGGTCGTGGTGGTGGAGGAACAAGACGCCACCGGGCGGGGGGTGGCTGCCAGGCTGCCCGGTCATGGGCGCCGACAGTGGGGTGGGAAGGCTCATTCCTCGCCGGTGGAGATACCGATGCCGGTGCTCGTCCGGGACAGCCCTCGCCGAGAAAGGCCGGAGTCTCTTCGAAATTCTGGCCAGTCGGCACCCCGGGAGAGGTCTAGGGAGCAGCGACATCGGTACCCTTTTGTCTCCCCAGAGCCCTCGTCGAGAAAGGCCGGAGTCTCTTCGAAATTCTGGCAAGTCGGCACCCCGGGACAGGTCCAGGGAGCAGCGACATCGGTACCCTTTGTCCCCCCAGAGCCCTCGTCGAGAAAGGCCGGAGTCTCTTCGAAATGGGCCAGTTGGCACCCCGGGAGAGGTCCAGGGAGCAGCGACATCGGTACCCTTTTGTCCCCCCATGGGTGCCCATGAACGTGGGGTCTCCCCACCGGGGGCCTCTTGGCGATCCATCTGCGGTGTATCGTCGATTCCGGGTCATAATTTCCTCCCTTTGCCAATCCCTCCCCTCTCGTCTGCGAGGTGTGGATGAGACATTGACTCGGAGGTAGATAGACATCCTACCCTGACACGTCGATTAGCGAATTGGTTGTTTTCGGTTCGCGAGAGGGCGTCGCGGCCGTCATTTTTGCGGGTCCAGGTCCGTCGGTTTCGGTCCTAGGCCGTTTTGATTAAGGGTGGTTTATTAAAGGGATGTTATTCCACCGCCGACTATCTTCATAATCTAGCTTATCGTCGCAACTTATTCCGTCGCCTTCAAACATCTCTTCATCCCTTCTCACACTGGCTCGCGTGGCGAGCCAACGATCGGCTGACTGGGAGGTGGTGGCTGGCGGAGGGCCCGAGGCGGAGGAACCCTCCTCGCATCGATGGCTCGCTCTACCTTTTCGAGGTACACTGCTTCTCTCGGCTGGTGCTGCAGGCTTTCGCAGCAATCTTCGGCTCATCATGTTTCTGCCTGGTTCCGCATGCGCACTTTACATTCAAGGAGGGAATGCTGATATATGATGTAAGCGTGTTATTTGAAGCCAGCCGTGTCGAAGCACATGCTTGCGGAGTATCATATCGTTATTCGACGCCGGCATATTATCTTCCTGTCAGTCATATGGCTGGGGTCTTTGGAAATGGGGCCGCGAAACGTGCGCGCAATCGTTTATGCAATAGTTGGAAGCGATCATACACATCGTGGGGCGCCTCGTGCAATAGTCGGGGTGCGACAGCTTGCTCGCGCGAACGCAATAGTTTCTCTCTGCGGTGCAATAGTTTGTGCTTTCGTTTTTTTTGGCGTGCAGTAGCTTGCAATAGTTGGCCTGCCACGATGCAATAGATGCATCTGGTCATGCAATATAACGCAGTAGTTGAGCACGCGGGCGTAATGATTCGCAATAGTTTCGCGCAATGGTTGCGCGCAATAGTTCCACGCAGCGAACTATTGCAGCTGCGGTTTGCGGCCTCACTTCCAAATACCCTACCTCCCCCCAGAGCCAAATGTTTCGTCATGCATCGTTGGCTCCAGTTGCGAGCTACTTAATCCACCTCGTCCGCATGCTCTGCATGTCCACTGGCGCACGACTGCAGAGAAGGGTTGTTCTGTTTGGGTGGGCTCGTGACTGAGGGTAGATTATGCTGGCCCGACCTCCACCACAGCATCGAGGGAGGTCTCAAGCGCATCCCCTGTTGGTCCATGAGCTCCTTTCCCACTTCCTCGCGCCTTTCGCCTGGAGCCCTTCCCCTTGTCGTCTCGATGGGGCATCGGTACTGACACCCGACGTGAGGCCCTGGCAGCAAATCCAGCAGTTCAAAGGCATGCAGGAGTTGAAGGAGAAGGCGGATGAAAAGGAGCACGAGGAAGATGAGGTGGAGGAGGCGGAGGAGGAGAAGGAAGAGGAGGAGGAGGAGGCGGTAAATGCGGAGGCAGAGGAGGCGGAGGAGGCGGAGGAGGCGGAAACGGAGGAGGAGGAGGAGGCGGAGGCGGAGACGGAGGCGTAGGAGGAGGACCAGTGTAAACCCAAGACTCATCAACGATGTTGGGATAAACCCTCCCTCAAAGCTCCCTCTTTCTAGGCCCCATACCAGGGTTCACTTCAACTGAGGGAAGTGCCCCCTTGGGAGACAACCGTGTGAAAATCTTGAAGCGTACCGAAACACCATTCTCAGTACTTCAACGCCACGAGTGAATTTGATTGTTGCGTCTTGACGATCCTGGATCGTGCAGAACAATACCATTTCTGTTCGCTTACACATTCGACTCCACAAAATCCTTGCTATAAAAAACGAATGTGGGCGGCGCTACGGCGAAAGCCACATTTCGAAGCAGAACTGCCCCCAATCCGTGAGGCTCTTGCAAATGTTTCAGACGAGTGTGCGCGGCGCCAAGGCGAGAGCCACATTCTGACAACCATCCGCCTTCAATCCGTGAAGCTCTTGTTTTCGTTTCAGACGAATGTGCACGTTGCTAAGGCGAGAGCCCCATTTGGAGAACGACCCGCCCTCAATCCTTGAAGCTCTTGCACATGTTTAAAGCGAATGTGCGCGGCGCTACGGCGAGAGCCACACTTTGAGAACCAGACTTCCTCAAGCCGTGAAGCTCTTGCCGTTTTTAAGGCACATGTGCGTGGCGCTGAGACGGGAGCCACATTTGGGAAACAACCCGCCCTCCATTTGTGAAACTGCTGCCGGTTTCCAAGCTTCATGCTCGTAAATGCTAAGGGCGTCTGGAGCCAAACGCCCGGCCTGCCTTTCCGACTGGCCACATTGGGGCGCGACAGGGAGGAGTTATTCATAACGAAGATGAGTGGAGGAGGAGGAGGAGAAGGAGGAGGAGGAGGAGGAGGAGGAGGAGGAGGAGGAGGAGCATTGGCAGCTGCAGCAGCAGCGCCAGGAGGGCGGAGGAGACGTGGGCGGAGGAGGCCGGAGGCCGCGGTGGCGCGCAGCGGGACACGGGCGGGCAGTGGGGAGGGTCGTGGAGGGTGGGTCGCGGGGGGGCCCGAGAAGGCCCAGCCGCATCGGGTCGCGCGCGCGGTGCGCAGGGCCCCGGAAGCGGCGGCCGCAGGGGCAAGGCGCGGAAGGGCAAGAACGGCGAGGCCCGCGCCGCCGGCTCTGCCATGGCCGGGGGGAGGGGTGGGCACGGTCGGCACGATCGGCAGAGCGCGTTCTGTGGACGCTCGGAGGGAGGGGGGGTGTCAAACCAGGGAGGGGGCCCTGACTTGCTTGCAAGAGGGGGGGGGGTCGAACCAGGGGGGCGGGGCCCGCCCGATGGGGATCGGAGAAACGATATTCATATCGATCAAGTTGGAGTTCGGAAAGAACGGGAACGGAGGCTGGGATCTCTTCTTGAGCGCGCGCGCTCCTCCTACCCTCCTGCGCAGATTCGGCCTCGGTCAGGTATCGGCCCAGGCCGGTTGCTTGAAGATCTGCGCCGTGCTGCATGGCGCCCCCTATCGCGCCCCGTGGAGTCGCAGGGCGGGGGCGTCGGTGCGGGGCGTGCAGAGCTCAGGGGGAGAGGTCGAGGCCCAGCTCGAGGCTCGCGCCGACGGGCGCGCAGGCTCACAGCCAAGAGAGCTTGTGACCAGGAGAGTCCTTTCTACGGCCACCAGTGCAGTCCTCGGGTGCCTCTCAGCGACTTCGGTCGTGCTCTGGCCCCCCAAGATGTCCGCGGTCGAGTGTGCGGTGTCGGCGACCGCCCAGTGAACGTGGTGGGTCGGTGGACGAAGTCACCGCTGCGAGGCATGCGTCCGCGATGCTGCAGTGGCTCGGTTCGCAGTTTCAAGCCATTGTCGATGCAGATTTTTGCTGCTCTTTGAAACGTCGCAGCCTTCTTGGGTGACAAGCCACCCGGCCGTCTGCCGTCCACCGTGCCTGACTCCGAGGCGACTGCCTGCTGTCCATCGCCTGGCCCTGTCGCCGTTCCATCTTGGAAACAGCCTGAAGCATACGACCTCGTACCAATCGCAGAGGTTCAGGCGATCGCAAACATGGATCAAGGGGGCGTGGAGAAGCTATGTGTCCCGTTTCCATGGGGAATCGCGGATTTCCGCCGCCGAACGAGGCGGCACGGGCCGCATGCGCCAAATCCATGGATCGTTAATCCATGTGTTTGCGCCCCTGACAGATTCGAGCGAACACTGGCATGCACCCGTCTGCACACTCACTTATGCGGTGGAATCTGTGGTGGGTCCATGGGTGGAGGAAGCGGACAGGAGAAGGACCAGCAGGCGGAGGAGGTTCCCCACCCAGGATGCAGGGGGGACATAGCTAACCCGCCCCTTGGGGTGTCTGCGTGTCGCGTTTCGCCTTTTCACAGATACCCTAATTTGATCACCCCCCAGGGTCAAACGACCCTGGGAGGGGGCCTGCGTCAGACTGACACCATAGCTACCAGTACCCAGTACCCAGGCGGAGGGTCCATGAATGCAGACACTAAAGTTCAGGCGACCCGTTCGCAGTCTGCTTACGACAGTGTATCGATGTAGTTATATGATATACATGTATACATATAACGGCGCACCGGGTCCGGGGGCCCGGGGCCGGGACCTCGACCGCAAATGTGCACCCCGGGGGGCCCGGAGGCTCGTCGGGGCTTGCCGGAGGCCTCCCCGGTCAGACAAGACGGCCCCAGAAACGCCCAAGACGGCCCAAGAAACTTCCAAGAGGCCTCCAAGAGGGCTCCGAGATGCTGAAGATGGCCTCCAGACGTCCAAGGACGCCCCCCAAGACGCCCCAAGAAGCCTCCAACATGCGTCCCAAGAGGGCCCCTAGACGCAAAAATTGGCCCATTCCCTTCGTAAAACGTACATTTTTCACAAAGTTGCCTTTTGGGCTTTCCGACATTACAGGACGGCCCAAGAGGCGCCCAAGACCGCCCCAAGACGGCCCAAGAAGCTCCCAAGAGTGCCCCAGGACAGCCCAAGAGGGCCCCAAGACGGCCCAAGAGGCGCCCAAGATGGCCCAAGAGGGCCCCAAGACGGGCCCAAGAGGGGGCCCAGAGGGGGACCACGAACCGCAAGCTCGAGCCTTCCGCCCCAAGAGGCCGCCAGGAGGCCCCCAGGAGGCCCCTCAAGAGGCCCCAGGAGACCCCAGACGTCCAAGGACGCCCCCAAGAGGCTCCAAGAAGCCTCCAACATGCGTCCCAAGAGGGCCCCTAGACGCAAGAATTGGCCCATTCCCTTCGTAAAACGTACATTTTTAACAAAGTCGCCTTTTGGGCTTTCCGACGTTACAGGACGGCCCAAGAGGCGCCCAAGACCGCCCCAAGACCGCCCAAGAAGTTTCCCAGAGGGCCCCAGGACAGCCCAAGAGGGCCCCAAGACGGCCCAAGAGGCGCCCAAGATGGCCCAAGAGGGCCCCAAGACGGGCCCAAGAGGGGGCCCAGAGGGGGACCACGAACCGCAAGCTCGAGCCTTCCGCCCCAAGAGGCCGCCAGGAGGCCCCCAGGAGGCCCCTCAAGAGGCCCCAGGAGACCCCAGACGTCCAAGGACGCCCCCAAGAGGCCCCAAGAAGCCTCCAACATGCGTCCCAAGAGGGCCCCTAGACGCAAAAATTGGCCCATTCCCTTCGTAAAACGTACATTTTCAACAAAGTTGTCTTTTGGGCTTTCCGACGTTACAGGACGGCCCAAGAGGCGCCCAAGACCGCCCCAAGACGGCCCAAGAAGCTTCCAAGAGGGCCCCAGGACAGCCCAAGAGGGCCCCAAGACGGCCCAAGAGGCGCCCAAGATGGCCCAAGAGGGCCCCAAGACGGGCCCAAGAGGGGGCCCAGAGGGAACCCCACGTGGGCCCAAGGAGGCCCAAGAGGGACCCAAGAGAGCCCCAAGAGAGCCCCAACATCGGTCACGCGGAAGAGCTCTCGCGTGACCGATGTTGGGCCCCTCTGTGGGCTCCTCTTGGAGCTCCGAGAGGAGCCAAAGATGGCCCCACGAGGGCCCCGACGAGACCCCAAGAGGACCCAAGCAGGCCCAAGAGGGACCCAAGAGAGCCCCAGCATAGGTCACGCGGAAGAGCCCTCGCGTGACCGATGTTGAGCCCCTCTTTGGGCTCCTCTTGGAGCTCCAAGAGGGGCCCAAGATGGCCCCACGAGGGCCCCGAGGGAGCCCCACGTGGGCCCAAGGAGGCCCAAGGAACCCCAAGATGGCCCCAACATCGGTCACGCGGAAGAGCTCTCGCGTGACCGATGTTGGGCCCCCTCTTTGGGCTCCTCTTGGTGCTCCGAGAGGAGCCCAAGATGGCCCCACGAGGGCCCCGTCGAGACCCCAAGAGGGCCCAAGGAGGCCCAATAGGGCCCCAAGAGGGCCCCAACATCGGTCACGCGAAAGAGCTCTCGCGTGACCGATGTTGGGCCCCTCTGTGGGCTCCTCTTGGAGCTCCGAGAGGAGCCCAAGGTGGCCCCACGAGGGCCCCGACGAGCCCCAAGAGAGCCCAAGAGGGCCCCAAGAGCGCCCCAACATCTCCTCTCCTTCCTCCTCCTCCCTCCTCTGCATCTTCCTCCTCCTCCCTCCTCCTCCTCCTCCTCCTCCTCCTCCTCCTCCTCTCCAGGGGAATGAAAACCAGAGGATAGCTCACGGAGAGCCCAAGCACCCTCTTGTTGCATCCATCTTGGCTTCCAGATGGAGCCCAAGAAGGCCCCAAGGAGGCCCCTCAAGAGGCCCCAGGAGACCCCAGACGTCCAAGGACGCCCCCAAGACGCTTCGCGTCACCAATTTCTTCTCGCAACGATTCCTGGGTCTGTGACTCGACAGAACCTAAGCGCGCGCGAAGCGCGCGCGTGGTTCTAGTATATATGTATGCATGCACGCATGCATGCATGCATGCATGCAACTATGCATGTATGTTTGTATGTATGCATGCATGTATGTATGTAGGTATGTATGGTGGCATGCATGTACGTATGTATGTATGTATGTTTGCATACATGCATGCATCTGTGTATGTACCTATGTATCCACGCTTGTACGCATGCATGCCTGTATGTATGCATCTATGGATGTAATGCATGCATGCATGTATGTAGGTATGTATGTATGCATGCATGCATGCATGCATGCATAATTCGTTGTTTGTATGTATGTTTGCATGAATATATGCATGCATGCCTGTATGTATGCATGCATGCATGCACGCATTTATTCTTTTCATGTATGTAGACATCCATGTTTGTACGTACGTATATACGTATGCATGCACGTATGTACGTACACATGCATGCATGCATTCATGTATGTATGCATGTATGTATGTATGTATGCACTGGTGCATCTATGCATGTGTGCATGCCTGTATGTATGCATGCATACATGTATGTATAGATGTATGTATGTTTGTATGCACGCATGTATGCATGCACGCGTGTATGTACGCATACACGCATGCATGTATGCATGAATGTATACATGTCTGTATGTCTGTATGTCTGTATGTATGTATGTATGCATGCATGCATGCATGCATGCATGCATGTATGTATGTATGTATGTATGTAGGTATGAAACATGTGTGTGCATCCATGTTTGTTTGTATGTTCGTATGCATGTACGTACGCATGCATGCATGCATGCATGCATGCATATATGTACGTATGTATGTATTGGGAATGCGTGCATGCTAATGTATATTCCGCGGCCACGGTTTCTCAAGCCAATCTTTGACCGTGAGAGAGGATGCTCACGGAGACATTCACTTGTCTCGTGTCGGTCGGCAATTTCTGTCTCCTTGCTAGCAATTGGTGGAGCCCGCCAGTGCAGCCTGCACCAGCGTGCGGGTGCACCTGCCATTGCTCCGAAGGCAGCTCGTGGTGGCCCCCTGTACTCATTGGCATCCTGAGCGTGACCTCGCTCCTCGGGTTGGGCCCAAGGCTGTTGTGGCGGGCGTCGCCCGCGCAGGTGCAGGCGATCGACGTGAAGCAGCGGCGGGGCCAGATCACGGCCGGTCCGCCGACTAACGTCGGCTAGCCATGGCTCTGGCACGGCCGCGCGCGGGACAGCGCTACTGGGTGCTGTTTGACCGCGCCGAGGGGCTGTGGCACGAGCGTCTGTGCCTGTTCGAGTACGAGACGGGGATCATCGTGGCCACCCCAGACGGGGATATCTATGCTGAGGAGTACACGGACTACGAAGACCTGGCCCTCTCAGGGCCCCAGGGCGGCGTTCCTCGCCGCTTGTACCCGAGGCGGCGCTACCACTTCGACCCAGACGACCTGGACGAGGACAGCCAGCTGCGCGCGGACGCCGCCCGCCAGCTGGAGAGGCTGCTCGCAAGCGGCGAGTACCCGGCGGCGCCGCTCCCGCTTCCTGATGCGGGGGATGCGGCGGCGCTGGTGCCCGCCGAAGACGGGGCGGCGGCTGGCGCAGGCGGCGGCACGCCTACACCACGCAGCGGGCTACCGAAGGAGCTCGATGATGCGCCGCGTGGGACGACCTGGTACCAGCTCACCGACGGACTTGGCCAGCGGATGCATGACCAGGTGACGGTAGGGCTGAACGATCGGTGTATCACGGACGGGCGCTCTGGACTTCTCATCCGCGACGGCGAGACCGTGCCGGTGTCCGCGCTGCGGCCGCAGCGAGCTGGAGACGACGACGTGAGGACGCTGCCGGTGCAGTACAACCCGCGGGGGGAGAGGACGCGCTCGTTCCAGAGCGCGCGAGGCGCCTTCTCCGAGGAGACCTTCGACGACTTCCCCGTCCGTGGTCCGCGGACGACCGGCTGGCTGATGGAGGCGTTCCACAAGAGTGGTCAGAGCCCCGTGGCCCGCCACCACTGGTGGAGACAGATGCTGGGCGCGACGACGGCGGATCCAGGGATAGACGACCACCTCTTCCTCTCGGAGTTGTTCGAGCTCGGCGGGCAGTACGACCAACTGAACTTGCCGAACAGTGCCGCCTTCGAGGCGATCGCCCGCCGCTACCAGCTGCGGGAGGAGAGGTACGCAGAGAAGTTGAAGCAGGTGACGGAGGGGCCGGGAGCCGCCGCCGGTGTGGCGGCAGAGCGGCACCTCTTCCTCGGGGTCGCGTCGGGCAGTGCTGCGCTGGTGGCGCCGAGCCTGGCCGAGTACGTGGCCGAGAAGATGGGGCAGGAGAGCAAGATCTTGAAGGGGCGCCGCAAGGGGCGCGAGGAGCGCAACCTGGCCGCGCTGGCGTCTTCTGGCTCTGGCGGCGGCGGGGGCGGCGGCGCGGCAGGCGCAGCAGCCCTCGATGGCCAGGGCGGGAAGAAGAGGCCGCCCAAGAAGCAGAAGTCCGAGGAGGGCTAGCTGCTCGTGGGCATCTGCATCACCCGGTCGCCTTGCGCGTGACGCCCCATCGTGTGCGAGGCTAGTTTTTTGAGGGAGGCCATCGGCGGCCGCCATGGCTTTACAGTCACATCGCGATGTGTTCCCCCTTCCCTGCGCCCCTCCACCGCCTGGCCTGTGCTCCGCAGGCCCTTCTGCTCGGTGGCTGCAGGAAGGGATTCGAGCGCTGAACTCGATCGGGGGTCGTGGTCAGACGACGCCAGCTCAGCCGACGACAGTTTTGCAGGCTCACGCCTTGTCTCGTCTTGCTGGCATGTATGCTGGGATTCCCGATCTTCCGAGTGATTTGACCGTCCAGAGTGCCGTCAAGGCCACTTTGGGAACCGACCCTGGTTACGGTGAGGACCTGACCAGCGGGGGCCACGCACTTTGCCAACCAGGCAAGGTGTCCTTGCCTCGCGTCGCCACCGGGGTCACACGTCTCGAGGATGTGTTGCCTGCCTCGGATCGCTCTCTGTTGGTAGGGGAATCCACGGGACATCTGACGGATGCCGCTTCTGCCGACAACTGTTTCGCAGGAAAGCTGGCCTTCGATCCCCGACTCGCGACGGGCAAGAAGGCCTACGGGCGATTTTTGAGTGATCTCTTGTCTCGTCAGATGCTGGAGGTCGGGGAGGCTACAAAGTTGGTCGCCCCCTTTTTTGTCAGAAAAAAAAAGACGGTGCCTTGCGTCTCATATTCGATACGCGTGCAGCTAATACCTCGTTTTCCCCCCCTCTTTATACCTCTCTTGCTGCTGCTCAGGCGCTCAGCTCGATTGAAATCCCGACTGGGGCTTCTCTGCACTGTGCCCAAGGGGACGTCACTTGCTGTTTTTATCAGTTTCTGCTGCCTGAAGATCTGCGAAGCTTTTTCGGGCTTCCTCCGGTGCATTGGTCCGACCTTCCCGTCCGGGTAAGACGCGCCCTGGGCCCGGCCGATCCCTCTGGGTTGGTCAGGTTCAGGTCAGGCTCCGTGTTGTACCTATGGGTTGGTCGTGGGCAGTGTACTTCGTCCAGTCTGCAATGAAGAACCTTCTGGCCCCCGCCGTACCCAGGGATCCCTTCCTTACCCAACGCAGACCCTTGGACCCTCTCTCTGAGCAAGGCGCCGTCAGTGCTATATACGTCGATAACTTTGCGTCTCTCTCGCTCTCGGCCGCACGCTCGAGTGACGGGCTTACGCGTATGCTGTCCGCCGTGCAGAGTGCTGGTCTCGACGCTGACGCGGAGCCCGACGGCGCCCCCTTTCTTGGGTACTGCTTGGATGAGTCTGGGTCGTCTTGGGTCCCCATCGGGGCGTAAGTTTTGGAGGATTTCCCTGGCTTTGAAGGCGGTCTTCCAGGGCAGGGTTCGTCGGGCTGGACGTCAGATCGCTCGTCTTGTAGGGCATGTGTCGGCTGTATTTCAGCTTCGCCCCGAGCTGCTCTCTATCTTTTCGGCAGCCTACACCTTTAGTACGCGTTTTCGGGACCGACCTTCGTGGGTCTGGAGCTCGGTTAGACACGAATGTTGGCTGGCATGGGCTCTCCTTCCCACGGCTGTTGCTCGGCTGGATACTCCCTGGAGCTCCGAGGTGACCTCAGTGGATGCTTCACTTCACGGGTTCGGCGTCACGGCGTGCCGGATCGAGTCTAGCAGCGTCGGCAAGGTCGGGCGAGTCAGCGAACGTTGTCGATTTCGTGGAGAACTGCGAAAGTGCTCCAGGCCGCGGGACGTCCTGGAGGATGTGGAGGTGCCCTTCTCGTTCCTCGCTCGTGGGTCCGATCTCGACTTCTTGGAGACTGGTGCTCTGACGGAGTTCCCTGAAGTTCCCGAGTGGCTTGCCAAGGACTCCCCCTGGTGTGTCATTACTGCGAGGAGGTGGAGGAGAAAGGAGAAGATCTTGAACCTGGAGGCGGAGGCGGCCCTGTGGGCTGCACGGCGTATCAGTCGTGACAAGCGTCTGGGAGACCACCGTCACCTCATCCTCAGCGACTCGATGGCCTGGGTATGTGCAGCCACGAAAGGGAGGGGGAGCCCTTGGTTCCTCCTACGTCGGTGTCGCGAGTTGTGTGCGCTCGCCGTTGCCTCAGGATGCCGCTTTGTTTATCGATGGATCCCCTCAGAGTGGTACAGCGCCGATGCCCCGAGCCGAAGGTACGACCCTGTCAGCGAGCATCACGCCAAGTACTTCTATGTCAGCAACCCTGGTGGCTCGGAGTGCTCTCCGAGCCGCGACGCGCCCGCCCCGCCTTCGAAGTCTTTGGAGGCGGTCATCGGCGATGGAGTGCCGCACCCTCCGGGCCTCCGACGCCTCGCGGCCGCGGTCCCGTTCGCCTACGGCTTGCCGGGGCCCTGGGAGGCTGCGGGCGGCGGTCAGGCTGGACACGGCGCAGCCGCCGACGACGTCGCCTGCGAGCCCGTCCCGAGTGACCGCCCGCCTCTCGGCCGCTCCCATCGCCAGCCTGCCCGTGGCTCGCTGCCACTTGGGGCCGGGGCCGGCAGGGGGCGCCGAGGCGCGCTCCGCGCGCTGGGCGGGGCACGCTCGGAGGCGGCAGGCGCGGCAGGCGATGCGCCAGGCGCCGTCGACACTGATCGGGAGTGCGGGGCGGGCAGCCGCCCGCCTGGCCGAGCCCGGCTTCCGCGTGTCCGCGCTGGGAGCGGCGTCGGTCACGCCGGCGACGCAGGACAACTACCTGACACACCTGGAGATGCTGCTAAGGTGGCTGATGCGGAGGCAGGCTCCGACGCTCAACAAGGACGAGTGGGATGTTCTCCTGGCGAGCTACATCGAGCACCTGTGCGACTCGGGGGCGACCGAGAACGCCGGGGGGACGACGCTGGCTGCAGTGCGGTGGGCAGAGCCTGCCATTCCGCGGCCGCTCCGCCGAGGCCCCCCCCTGGCCTCGGCCGCGCTGGCCGGCTGGCGGCGGGCCGAGCAGGGGCGGGCGAGGCTGCCGATGCCGAGCGAGCTGGCTGTCGCGATCGCCCTGGACCTGTGCGACTGCGGCTTGCCGAGCCTGGGGTTCTTCGTGATGCTGGTCTTCGAGACGTATATGCGGCCCAGCAAGGCCCTGTCTCTGCAGCGCTTCCAGCTCGTCCCACCATCCGGCCACGGGCTGCCCGGGACCAAGGGGCGGTGGGCTGTGCTGACCCGGGCCCTCGAGCTCGGCAGGCCTGGCAAGACAGGCGACTTCGACGGCAGCGTGAGCCTCGACCTTCCGCGGTACCAGCTGCTGGTGCCAGTCCTCGAGGAGATCCTCCGCAGGCGGGGCGAGCGGGACCCAGTGTTCCTCTTCGACTACGTGACACTTCTCAGGCACTGGCGAGCGGCGTGCAAGCGGCTCGGCCTCGAGCACCTGCACCTGGCGCCTTACTGCCTGCAGCATGGCGGCGCGTCGGAGTATCGGGCAAGCAACTCTCGTCCCATGCTGGAGGTGATGAAGCGGGGAGGCTGGAAGACCTACTCGAGCCTGGCCAGGTGCGCGAAGCACGCGCGGCTCGGCCTGGTGGTGCAGTGTGCCGGAGCGGCAGTAGTCTCAGGTGCCCTACGTCGCGAACCAGACTTGACCAAGCTCTTTCTCGCAGCATGGCAGCCGCCAGACGGGACGCCACGATCGGCCACTGTCAAGTCTTCCTCGATATCTTCTCAGGCGCTGGTCCTGTCGGACGCTTTCTGAGAGCGCGGGGTCACGGAGTCATCTTTTTTGAGAAAAAGCTGGGACCTCGGCACGACATCAGACGCACGCAGGTCTTTGCTACAATTATAGGGTGGCTCCGCGCCGGGAGGCTGTGGGGCTTTTGGCTGGCAGCGCCTTGCGTGACCACCGCGCGAGCTCGTCAGAACGGTGCCGCAGGTATGCCACCTCCGTTGCGGTCTAACGAGCATCTTCGTGGGCTGCCAGGACTGTGTGACAAGCTTAAGGAGCAAGTGCGCGAGGCCAACACCCTCATCGATCGTGCAGGCTTGCTGCTGAAGACCGCTGAGGGCTTGGGAGTGCCGTGCGGGGAAGAGAACCCAGCCACTTCGTTGCTGTGGCTTTTTCCTGTGCGCCAGCGGGTGCTGACGAAGTGGCCGCATCCCAGTGTTGATTTTTGCTCTTGCGGATTGCCGGTCCGCAAGCGCACTCG